GTCTCAACTTTTAACTGCAGCACCAAAATTTTTCTACAGTCGCATTGCGCAAAATTATTTCAGTTGTAAAAACAAGTTGTAAAATTCATCCACGCAAGACTGATATTTTTTGGGGTACGTCATAATTGAATCACCCGTCTCAAATTAAAAATTGAATCATGAAGAATTGTTACCGAATCGTTACACCGGGTGCAGCTTGATTTCGTTATCCAATGTCCTGAATAGTTTATGCAAGTGCATTAAACAATCGCTTGTATCGTATTGGATGACCCTGAGATGACTTTTCTGGGGTAATCGCGAAAATAGAATGAAACGCGAACGATAAACTGTGTCAAAGATCTGGGTTTCACTCGTCCCTCCAACATTTCGGCAAATCCTCGGGTATTTTAATCCCCAAAAATAAAAAATATATGAGAATAATATCGGGCCCCTTTTCGCACATCATTACAAATAAATTCACGACGAGTTAAAAATGAAACGAGAAAAATCGCAAGTTTCGCCAAATCGACGGAAATAACCGGTGGCTTGAGAATTCAGTTACGAAAGGGCAGCGATCTCAAATCTATCTATATTATTTTCCAACTTTTAAATAATCTTGATAAATAATAGAAAGAATAAAATATGTAATTATCCTCAACGCAATTCCAGGATTTGCGCTCCGCCATCGCAATTTCGATTCAATTATTAATTTTTCCACTTGTCAAAGGGAAATGATAATTATTTATTGGGTGACGATTTTATAATGGTTTATCTGGAAAATTATGGATTTTAGGAGAAAGTGATTGGGACCTTTCCTGTGGGTGATTGAATTTCCGAGAAAAAAGGTCTCATGATAATTTTTTGTAGGACGACGAGTTTTCGAGATTGAGAATTTTTTTTAATGGAAATTCCAATCATCGATGTTTTTTTTCATAATGCTCAATACTTAGATAACAATTGTTGACCTCTTATTGCACGATATCGACGCAAAGTGCAGATGACTTGTAATGCCAGACGTAATAACTGTTCAGTTAGATAACTGAGCTGTCTATTTTGAGCTAACCATGGTATTAATAATAGGAACTAACATGTACGTCACTGGCTGCATCTCTTATGATTAATCATAAAATTTATGGTTCCAATACGCGGAGAAAAAAAATGTCTCGACGTGAAAAATTGAATTTTCACTTTCATCTGCCTTTGAATTTCAGGAGAAAGTGAGGAAAGACGAAAGAGACGAGCGCAGTGAGCGCTCAACCTGAATGTCACGGTAAAAATTGCCCTGAGGGTGAAAAAAAAAACGGTGGATCAGTAAAATTAGTAAAACCCACAAATTTTGGCATCATAAGAGATCTGGGTGGAGGGCACCCCGTAAAAAATGGGGGTAGCCGATGATTTTGCACCGAGCTTTACGCAAAAGCCTCAGCTGAGGCAAGAGGATGATGGAAATCGTCTGATATTCGAGTGCCAACTCGTCAGCGCACCAAAACCTGAAATAACATGGTTCAGGGGTGAAACACAGCTCACTGAGGACGACAGGACAAATTTCAAGATCCAGAGCATCGGAGCCAATAAATTTCTCGTTGTCCTTGAGCTTGATGATGTCATTGAGACCGATGCTGGACTGTACAAGGTCAAGGCCAAGAACACCATGGGTGAAGTTGCAGCTTCCATCAACCTCAACTTCAGTCGTAAGTTTTTCTCCAGGTTCTCTATGGGGAAAATATATTTCAACTTCTTGGAAGGTACTCCGGGGCTGTCACCTCCAAATTCTCCAAGTCCAGGTTTTAATTGGAATTATTCCCCGAGGGTCATTGTTTATGAAAAGAATTCATGAATTTGGAATTGTTAGTCGAAAACCATTCGCGCGTTTCGATCATTCGGAATATTTATTTATTTCTTAAATTCTTATAATTTTTGGGATTTCCTATTGCAAATGGAAAATTTTATGGAATTGAATTAATTATGGAGGAATGGCGATTATTTGCAGTAATAGTTATTGTGTTTTACAGCCATGGACGAGCCTAGAGAAAAGTAAGTCAGCGATGAAAAAGTCTCGTCGATTATTTAAAACTGTTTGAAATTCGTGTCTTGCTGAAAACCACTGGTTTCGATTATATTCTTTGAGCAATATTTATTTTATTTCTTCGCACTGATCAGCTGCTTCCGCCTCTCTGCAAAATTAATCCGAAAAATATCCGAGAATTCTTGTTAAATGCTTATTTACACTTGTCTCTACGCTTGCACTTCTCTATGCTGCACACAACTATTTTTCATTTCGTTTGTTTTATTTTCTATTTTCTCTGGTTTTAGCTGCTCAGCCAAAGCTGAGAAAACGGTGAGTGCTTTGATGTTTTCTGTCTTTTTTCATTAACACATTTTTCATTTTCATTTCATTTCATCGTTTTCGAAGTGTGAGTTGTTTTATGTAATTAATAAAAAATAAATGACTGAATTTCCATCTGCCTGTAATTTTTTACCATTCCCTTAGAAAAATATCAGTAAGTGAAATAATCATTTGGGCCATTTTCAAAAAAAAAATCTGATCAAGTCTATTCATAAATATCTCAGAATTGTTGATTCTCATTTACATATTCTCGACTAAATGCTCTGCATCTGCTGCTTCTCCAGTAAAAATAGGCCAGATAGACAACTTTCCGCCAAAATTAGAAGCCATGACGAATCGTGCGCAGATCCCCATAAAAAAATATTTAAAAACGCATACGAAACGTATATTTTCTCAAATGAATTTTTTGGGGTGCGCAAAAGTCGAGGATTACCATCTCGCGGATATCCGAGTGATTTTTTTTTAATTAATGATGCGTGAAATTAATGAGTTTCACGACTGATTATTGCAGACAAATTGATGGTATCGCACCAACATTCGCGAAAAAACCTGCCATCAGGCAGGAAGATGATGGAAAGCGATTGGTCTTCGAATGCCGCATCACAGCCGATCCGACACCCAAAGTTACGTGGTTTCATGATGGAAATGTTGTTAAAGATTCACCGAGACACAAGGTTTGTTTAAAAAAAATCAAATCGATCGTTCGGCATGAATCCAACAAGTCCCCTTGGACCATCAATGGTATTCATGATTTTTTTTCAGCTTGCTATTGATAAAGACGGTCACTCGTACTTTGCAAGTCTCGAGATAAAAAATGTCACCGTTGAGGATGCTGGAAAATACAAAGTCAATGCAACCAACGAACTCGGCGAGTCAAATGCCACTATTTCCCTCAATTTCGATAGTAAGTATTTTTAAAAAATTCGCACACGACTATCAAACACTCTCATAAACTCATTCCGCCATCCTAACTCGGGATGTATATCGATCTATCATTATTATTCATTTATCTATCTGTCTTTTTATTTTTTTTCAATATTTTTTCTCGTTCAACTCTTGATTTTTTATCATTTTTTCTTCAA